ACGGCTAGGCCGATTGCGCTGAAATTTGGCACATCGCTAAAGACCGGTTAGTAGGGTGCAGTGCACAAGTTAGTTGGAGGTACCCCCTCGCAATTTCGCACGTGCAAGGCCCGTCCTCTCGCTCGCTCCGTTGGTCGCCCAAAAGGCGTTTTACTGGTTTTATTTGTTCGGACCTCTCTCCAACGGGCATATATACATACATATCAGTTGGGGAAACTACGAGGAGCCAAACAAAAATTGGATTAGCCAATCAACGGCTGGAGTGGGCGGGGCGATGACCATATATGGTCATAAAATCAGACAACTTCATCTTTTCAATGCATCCTAGCATTCAAATGAAAAAATAAGGCATAAGAATGTTTTTTAACCACACAAGGCCCACACTCACTCGGTGCACAATTAACTGGCGGCTCTAAATCGTCGAGTTACAACACAAGGTCAATCAGTGATTGGCAAATATGGCGGATTGAAACAGACGCGCCAAAAAAATGTAAGCAGTATCGTGGTTTTAAAATGTCATTATTTTTATTATTTTGTTTATGGTTTTTCTAATTGTGGTTAAGTTATTATTTTAAAGTTAGATATCTTTGTTTATTGTATTTAAATTAAATCTTTTAGCAATTTTCTTTCAAAACACCAATCCATTTATTGAATGGCCAGCTGATTGTGACGCCCAGAACCTGCAGAAAAGCTGTTTTCCTATCGCCATTTTCGAGTCAATTCGCCGAGTTTAATCAAATCACGCTAATTCCTAGTGGAAAATGGAAGCCTTTTCTCTCCGATAAGTGGATGCGATACCGCAAGTACCGGCTTGTTATACCGTTTTTCACCCTTAGTAGTGGGGGCTGCATTTATGCCCATATATGGTCATCAAAAGTCCATTTATTGACCAATCCATTTTTTGACTTTCGCCTCGTAGTTTCCCCAACTGATATATCCCAATTACAGAAGAGAGCTCCTCCTCCTCCTCCTCGTCCCGGCCCCGCCCGCACCGTGGGTCTACGCCTTAACCAACTGCGCCACCATGGCCGCTTGTATAATAGTTTTTTTTCTTCAGTTAACTGTTAACGCCACAAAGGGATTTCAGGTCCTACATTTAATTCAACAGCCTTGTTTATCATGCTGTCTGTTTACCGGCTTTCTTGTTCCGCGCACTTCTCCCGCTGGTCTCTGAAGTTGTATGCCCTCCGCTACTCTGAGAGGAATGGAAAGTTTTACAGGCGGCTCTCAGTAGAGCCCAGAGTCTCAGGAAAGATCAGGCTAAGGCAGCGCATTTGCCTGCCCGTTGTGGTCGCCTTCAAGCCGCCAAGACCGAGATAAACGAAGCGGATTTTGTGACATGTTTGAGTGGCTTGCTTCTGATAAACTCTCGGAACAAAAACAGACGGGATTCCCGATGAGAGTCTCTAAAGGGCACTCAGCGCAGCAATATGGTACATATGATGTTCAAAGATGAAAGAAGGATGCACTTTGACTACCTCATACGGCCCCTTATATCTAATGCAGGTTCTCCGATGACATACCTAGAAATGTAGGTAGGTACTGGGTAATGGGTATACTGGGTATTGGGTAGGTACTGGGCATACAGATAATGTCATGTGCATCATATAACCTTTTATGTACTTCTATCACTGCTGATTATATCTACATATGTATCCTCGTACATGTGTACATATGAGCCACGAGGAAAGCGTCAATGTAACGTCAACCTTACTTGCATAATGCATATAGTTTCAGTCAGTCAAAACCGTGCGAGAGGTTGCAGGAGCGCCTCGCCGGACAACAACACACAACATATGTATAATGCTATAACGGGTGATGGTTATACCTCTTGCACCCCCCCCCCCCCGTCCTCGCTGTCCGCTGATCATACGCCGCGCTGGGCGTCGCCCCCAGAGACCCCCTGTTCTCTGACGATAGCGGGCTGTATGGGGTCGGCCGCACCACGGAGCCCCGCCGGCCACAATCACTTAGCTGCGGCGGCGCGGCGATACGTCGGTCCGGCCGGCGCCGCTGAGACTTTGCCGACACTCGGGGGAATGGACGAGCCGATCGGACGGGCCAGAGCGAGCCGATCGGGCCAGCGCGGACCGATCGTATCGGCCCCGACCGCCCGCCCACATACCAGAGGAACAGGGCGCCGCCCCCGCCGGCCGTAAAAGCACCGACGGAAAATTGGCAGCGGCGATACGAGGACGACGCCAGAGCCGTGGATGAAATGGTATAGGGAATTCGGGGAGATGGGATGCTGGTTCGGAAAGTTCAAATACCTTGAGCTGGTTTGAAAATCAGGCGCATGCCAATAATGTCACCACTCATCTTTTTGACAACTATTAATTGATGAGCTTCAGCTTGTGATCATGTCTGAAAAGGGCCAAAAAACAAGATCCAAAATTAATGGGCTTCGTTTTTTATTTTTTATTTTTAGGCATGAGCAAAAGGTTATCATTTATACTTGCCATAATCATAATCATAATAATGCTGAGAATAATGTTTGAAGCCGTCAAAATTTATGTGTTTATGCTACTGTTATCAACAATAATGCCTTCCGTGGCATATCTAATGGTCTTACTTTTTTTCTAAGCCACATTATGTGGGCATTCCCAGTATACATAAAGACCACGACATATTTATCAAAGATCATGCGTTACAGAGCTCTTATATCTCAACTGGTCGAGCGGCCAATGTTTTATTTGGGCCACCTCATGTTTCCTGTAAGCGTAGCCTGCAGGTCGGCCGGGTGACCTTCCACATGAGTCATTTATAACCCAACGAAGAAATCATAAGCGTCAGATTTCCACACCGATTGACATGATCGATTCTCACTCTCGGATAATGGCATGGAAACACCTGTTCTCAGCTTTCATCTTCTCTATATAGTAGGTATCCAACATCATCGCTGGGGAGCGAACGTGGCTTTAATGAAGCCCTAGCCTTTCGTTGACCATCTGCACGCTTCATTCACCGTATCCGGTTAGCTTGTCATTAACGCTTAGCTTGGTAGGTATATTGGACGTTTGTGACAATGCAGCGGTTGGTAAGTGAGTCAATTTCATGGCCTGTTCTGGTAGAGTACTGAGAGCTCGCGTCGTTTGATCCATCGTGATGAAGGGGACCAATCAAATTGTGCGCGTTGGAAGTGGGTAACTACCTGCAATGTTCCATCTTAACCCGCGCCCTGCTGGGGGGGGGGGGGGTGTTTGAACACCCCCCCTTGTGGTTTTTTGCGAATATCTCAAAAACGGCGGCGCGGAGCGCCGCTGTTTTTGGTACACCTTATCATACATCAATTCTACACATGTTGTGAAAATTTCAGACCAAGGTCATTCAAGGTCAGGTCACCAGGTCACTTGAAGTGACCTCACCTCATAAAAAGTTTCAATGTCTGCCATAGCTACACCGAGTGACCGATCGCTTTGAAACTTTCAGCGATTGCTAAGAGCAATAGCATGTACAAAATGCATATCTCAGAATTTTGATATCGGTGACCTAAGGTCAGGTCAATTTTGCGACCTCCCCATTATAAGTCAATGGGAGAAAATTGAAATGCGCCTCTTTTCGACGAAAGACATTATAAACACTCCCAAACACTGAATTACAAGTGGTTTAGACACACTGAACATGAAAATGGTGTCCGTGACCCCTATTTATGCCCCTGAGGTCATCTCAGGTCACGAATAGTGGCTAACAGTTTTTCGCAAATAATTTTTGATAGAGGCATGCTAGAGCGGTGAAAACGCCTTAGATGTGCTCAGCTCGACGATACGGATCGACTGATATGCAACATGACCCTTTCCGGTCAGGTCATGACCTTGACCTGAGGTCAAATTTTCAAGTTGACCTTTCAAGGTCAAATTATAGTTAATTCGATGCGTCTTGACGAGAGGAACACGATGCCGGTAAAAGTAAGTTCGTACACGGCTTGGGTCAAAAGTTATTGCAGAAAAACTATTTCCGAAAAAATCGGCTATTTTTGCAGTTTTTGCCCCCTGCAGGCAAAACCGTTGACGTTAGGTCAAATCTGAGGGAATTACTCAGAAAGGGCGTTAATAGGGCTATCGAATGCGCTTTTCCGCGGCGCTGTAGCTTTATTGGTTCCCGAGTTATGCGTTGGCTTCCTGGAAATTGTCGACATTCGACCTGAAAATCGGCGAAATTTTGCCTTCAATGACTTCTGGTGACCTGACCTTTGACCTGACCAAAAAAGTGACCGAAGTGATTTCGTCATTATTTTTGGCGTTCTTTCGAACGCCGCCTTCCGCGTATCGCTACGTGGCCCAGGAGCCGAGTTAGATGGGGGGGGGGGTGTTTGAACACCCCCCCCCCCCCAGCAGGGCGTGGAAATCCATGACCCCCAGCCGGGCGCGGGTTAAGAAGCACTGTGACGTTATCAAAGTTGGGAATAGGCAGCCATTGCGTAAAAGTCAGTAGCTGTGAGTTACATTGTACCTTGTAGTGTAGTGTACTTACACTGTACATTGTACTTACCTTGCTCTGCGGGTCAGCTCGAAAGATCATGTCGAAGCACTACGGGTCGATAGAAATGCTATTCCTGAACGTTTTATCTCTAAACGCCCATATCAATGCTCTTGGAAGTCTCTCAAAGTCCCGAATAGGAAATCGCAATCCAAGTAAGAATAATGGCAATTGACATGACAGAAATTGCATCCCAGCTCGCGAGCCACATAGAGCACTATCGCAACTTCGTATGGAGCAGACATCATCTATCTCCATGGTGTCAGCAGACAGCGCAAAGAAATACTGAGATTTGTAAATCAGGTGATCTCGTTCAAGGCTGTATTGTGCAAGTCAAGAGACCTCCCCAACTAGTCCACCTCCATCAACAAACAACACGTTCCAAACGGCACCCGAACTTGACCGCTCGCTTTCCAGTTTCCGGACTATAAAAGACTGCCCAGCTATATCAGTTGAGAAATACGTTCCCCAATGAATGTTTCGATCTATGACTTTAGACTATCCCCGCACAGCGACTTCCTTACCCGTGTTCTGGACTGCTCCTCGATGGACGTTTTGACCTCGATGACCTTGCGGGTCTCCAGGTAGGTCCTCCGCTGCCGGAGGTCGGTGAATAGGTAGGCGGTGGTGCCCAGCGCGGTGGCACCCAGCAGCAGGACACAGCCGGCCGTCACCTGGAAGTGCACAGCAGCGTATCAGCCAACTGGGCGTCAGCCACAGTGGTCAATGACCATGTACCGGGTTACTCAATATTCATGCAACGAAATACGCACATGCGGTTCTATCTGTTCAGTGTTCAAGGTTTTTAGAATCTTCAACTGGCATCAAATAAAATGGTTTGCAGTTCCAGTGCCCCCTCCAGATCTATTATCCTACGGACTACAATGTATCGTAGGTAGTGCCTAAGTACAGAAATCTATCTCTCATCTATTCTTGTTTTTTTTTTTTGTACCCCACTGACAGCACATCTCCCAAGCGTCCGTAAATTTCCCTCCTCATTCATAACGCACTTCTCCATCATTAGAGTTCGCTCTGCGCTATTTCACGAGCGGGAGCGAGTGTGTAGCTGTGCCACTGCCGTCCCTCATCTACCCTGTTTTAGGTAAGCTGTGCGACATAGTCCTATGTCTCACGCGGAGTAGTCTGTAGCCAAGGTCTCGCCCACCCAAGGCCAAGAGTAGACCTCCTTAGGCTGGGCAGAGGGCCTTGGGCTGGGCTGGGGATCTCCCAGCCTCGTCCCAGTCGATCTTGGTAGCCACATTCCGCTGGGAAATCGCGGTGGTCGTCCACCGACGCAGATGCCGTGACGTTACCATGGCGACCGTCTAAATTGCGAGAGCACTCAAAAGCCCACGCGCATTGTTGGATGGATGGCAAAAAGCTGTTGCAACTGGTTGCAACTCAGCAACTTAGCGTTTGACTGTTTTGCCGGCCCTCGGCGGCATACACAGTCCCCCACGTAATCGATGGCGAAGATGACTGAATTGCTCCAATGCTTATCGTGCATTGGAGCAGCATATAAGATTCATATGAACGTGCACTACGTGTCCTGCCTATACCTACGTGGCACTGTGGTGTCACTGAAGTCAATTTAGGCCGTCAAAGCGTTTCTTCAGTATCTTCAGACCTTCGTCGGAGTAAAACACCAAGAACTCGGCTGCAAATCGAGTGTTTGGCGGCATTCGCTCATTCGATTAAAATCCTGATCCTACCCTGCACCTGTCTTTGACCTGTCGTTGACCTAAGGTCAATATAAAACTGATCCTTCCTGAGGAAAGATTTCATCGGACGTCGGTGTCTATGACAAACAAAACGGAACAAAATTGTTGCTCAGAAACGATACCTTCTCCCCAAATTCAGTTTAATCATTGGTGTTGTTCATCTCACCTCAGAGGTCACCGGTTTAGGTAGGTACTCGAGATCTTAGAATTGCATTCAGCCCTTCTTATTTCGCTGGGGCTCGTGATGACCAACAAGCGCCTCTTTTCGCGAGGCTCTATGCGAGAATAAGGAGCTAAACTGAGGGTACAGGGGAGGTCGTAATCGTACCCGCCGAGCCCTTTCAGCTGCTACTCGTGCAAACGCAATCATGCCGGCGATGGCTTATTAATGTCATACCTAGAGCCAAAAGGTGCATTCAGGATTGCACACAATATCGAATAGAAAACCTTCCAGTGCCAAATGCAGGAATGCGATTTATTGCAGATGTCAGCAATGAGCCGAAAATCGGCATTGCCATGTCAGTAATGCTCGAGCAAATTTGAGCCTCCGCTCTCAGATGCGGATGGTAGCAAAAATCCAACTCTGATCTCGGCACGTCTCATCGACCGGCAAAACTCGCCCGGGATGAGTGGCAGTTTGCCGTGCAAATTATGTTCGGATGACGTAAGTCGGCATGTCGAGGCAACATGTAAAAGTTAGGTCGTTGGGCGAGGAATCCTTTGGTTGAATCAACTGAATCCGATCCACCATGTAGCTGGCAAAACACAAAACAAAACCTATTAACCCGCGAGTTGCTGGGGGGGGGGGCGTTAAACGCCCCCACTTTTTTCGCCGGGCCATAGCATAAAAACGGCGCGCCGCAGGCGCGCCAAATTTTGGGTACCTGTAAGGAATTGATTGAAGTTTATTGTGACAAAGTTTCAAAAAAAATCGGTCGGAAAATTTTTGAGATATCGAGGTTTTAGTGACGACATGATTTAGTGACGACATGAGTAGAACACCATCGTGTTCTACGCCCCAAATTACCCATAAAACATGCGTCACAGGCTGCGAATATCAGTTTTGATTTTCGGGGATATGTGCCTACCCGGTCACTGGCGGATCCAGGCTTGCGTTTTTTTTTGGGGGGGGGGGCCAACTCATGCAGGAGCCAAACCTAGGGTACCCCCAAATCCTGTTTTCTCATCGGATTTAGGCCACTTATTTTTCGTCACAGCCCTGACACTATGAATTTTTTTTTTAACTAAAAAGAAAAATATATAAATGGTAGCCCACCCGACCCATGCCTTTATATTACTTTGTAAACACTTACCATTGTTTTTATCGACCAGTTAAAGGGACCCTCCCACCTTAACATTAGATTTGAGCTGAGATAGCCAAAATGGGGTCCCTGGCTCACAATTACCGGTTTCGGCACGCACTCACAACATCGAGAAATGCCTTAAATCGGAAATATTGAATTTCAAAATTGCAGCATTTTGATTCAGAGGGGCTAATGCTTTTGGATACCCCTCTGAATGTGTGACGTCAGCGGAGATCTAATGATTTTTTAATATTTTACTAAAACGTTTGGTAGCATGCGGTGGTATAGGCTGCTTTGCGCGCAACAAACGCCGCACTTTCAAATAAAGTCGCTAGGAACAGCAGCGGATATCCCAAAAAGTAAACAAAAATAAAAGTCTAATCTCTTGAAAACCGGTGAATATTTTTCGATAAAATTTGGTAGATATTCGTTTTCGCCCTTTCTGAACCTAGCGACATCACTTTCATGCCAATTCATTAACTTTTTTGAAGGTGGGAGGGTCTCTTTAACCCGCTTCGAGTCAGTGCTTGGGTCCCTTTGCGGGCCGGGAGGTGGTAAAACAGCCCTGTCTAACTCGGCTCCTGGGCCACGCCCTGATTGAAGTATGTTTCATTATCGTTTGGGGGAGGGGGAAAACGGGCCACTTTAGGCCTCTGGGAAGGGGGCATGGCCCTAAATGCCCCCTCCCTGGATCCGCCAGTGTAAGAAGAGACCATTGGAGCTGCAGTTGGGTACCTCAGACATCAGGGTACGCCCTCAGATGTATGTATAGGACTCGCATGGAGACCTCTTATGCTATAGTGTACTGAAAGGACCCAAAGGAGCCTGTCTATATGGGCTCCCGGAGATAGACGTGGGCCCTCAGGAGCCCGCCAGAGCCCCAATGAGGGATAAGTGAGGGATACCAAGTGCCTGCAATTGCATATTGCATAAGCCATAACGCCTTTACAAATCAATATATTATGCATCAGTGGCAGATCCAAGGGGGGCCACATGGGTCATGACCCCCTTGGTGCCCGGGGGCACCACAGGCCTGTCAGGGGCACCACCGGCCTAGTAGGGGCACCACCAGCCCGCCAGGGGCACCACAGGCCTAGCAAGGGCACCACGGGCCTGTGAGGGGCCCCACAGGCTTGTCAGGGGCACCCCAGGTCTGTCAGGGACACCAGAGACCTGCCAGGGGCGCCGCCGGCCTCGCAGGGGCACCATGGGCCTGTCAGGGACACCAGAGACCTAGCAGGGGTACCACAGGCCTTACAGGGGCACCACCGGCCTTGCAGGGACACCTTGGGCCTGTCAGGGGCACCACAGTCCTGTCAGGGCCCAGGGGCACCAGCGGCCTAGCAGGGGCACCCTAGGCCCGCCAGAGGTACAGCCCACCGCTAAAGTAATGTAGGGTTTTACCAAACTCAACGGTTGGCTTTGACTGGCGATTGTTTAATGCGAAGTGATTGAAAAGAAGATGTCAATAGCTAAAGTTGCAGCTGCAAGGGTGACGATACATATAAGATACATTCAAAGTTTCATTGTAGTCTGGCTAATCGTTCCTAAGCTTCAGAAGCAGAACAAACCCATGACTGAAACCCCACATTACTTCTGCTGTGGACTGTACCACAGGCCTGCCAGGGTCCAGGGGCACCACAGGCCTAGCAAGGGCACCACGGGCCTGTCAGGGGCACCTCAGGCTCCCGTGCCCCCCCCCCCCCCTCCCCCCCCCAGATCCGCCAGTGATGCCACACCACGCGAAACACCGCCAACTACCAGCTGCCGCGCCATAAACACGTGCGAACAACAGTCTTTTTTTAAGGTCGACTCCGCTCGCGCAACTTTTGACTGACCCTCACTGCTACTATATTGCTTCCATATTATGCTGTGGAAAGCTTTACTTCACCAAGTGGCTAAAAACCTCCATCAAGGTAGGGGAAAGTGGGGTAAGACGGTCAGGGTAGGTAAGACGGGCACCCCTTCTGCAGACCAAACCAATAGCGCTACGAGCAAGAAAAGTTAGGACCAGAATTGCCTTTCCCACTACACACCACCATTCAAGTCTGGTGAATTTGTGTTCAGTCGATAATCTTTTATTTTGATTTCTTTAAAACACTCATTTCATTGAAAACATCCATAATGTATTGTGCAAGCTTTTGTGTACAGCACTATAGAGTTAAAAACTCGCAATCACTTGTGGTACACTCATATGCCAACAGTGTTCATTTACGGCGGATTTGCTTTGTCTGCATCAAATTGTCCACAGCGAAAAATCGTGCTGAACTTCTGACATTGAGTTTGGGGTAAGACGGGCAACTATGAACCCAATGGGTCTGTAATGGTGAAAATATTTTTGTTGCTGTAGGAAAAAAGAAGCATTTCTAATAAGAATATGTTCGATTCCGATACTCACAGACATGTTAGCAATATTCCTTCGGCACAGTTTATTCTCGAATAATGAATGTGAAAAACGGTTCTACATGGCTTCTGAACTAGGGCCTATATAGGAGCATACGCCTTCTGCACGAATCTCGTATACTGCCATTTCCGAAGCACTTGAGACCAACGAGCGACTGTATAAATGCGGCTAATCTCGGGCATTTGTTGCGAGCTGCGCTGATCGGTGAAAGAAGCTGGCCGTCTTGCCCTACCCATGTGACCGTCTTACCCCATGGGGTGGGGTAAGACGGGTTTTTGCAAGGTTTTGCAAAAATAGCTGCAGTTTATTTGTTGAATCAGGTCTAAGTCTCATCTTCTGGCAAATGAAAGTAAAATGTCTGAAAAAGGTTTTCACCCAGTTTCCCGTTTCTATGATGTTTCTAACCGGCCGAAAAATGGCTCCAAAGTTAAGGTGCCCGTCTTACCCCACTTTCCCCTATATTTTCTTAGCAATTTTTCTGGCGTTTTGGGGGGGGGGCCAAACAGGCCACTTTAGGCCTTTGGGGGGGGGGGGGGCCATGGCCCCCGTGGCCCCCCCCTGGATCCGCCAGTGTACCCGGTTGACCTGACCTTGACCCTGACCTATGCTTGACTGACCCCTACATGGAGCTGACACTCTTGTAGGCCTTATATGATGGATTGTGCACCGTTTTGACAGAGTTTATGACGAGAGGCGCCCATTGCGAAGTCCTGAAGTCCATGCTACTGAGAGCCCGATTTCAGGTGTTTGACCTGACCTTGACCCGACCTGTGACCTCAAAATTCAACTTAAAAGTACTCATCTGAAGCGTCTCGTCGCGTTCTTTCGTTTGCCGCCTCGTGCGTTTCGCTGCGCCTATTGGTTCTCGAGTTATCGGCTGGGGGCGTTTAACGCCCCCCCCCCCCCCCCCAGCAAACGGTGGGTGGCGAAATACCCCAGCAACTGCCGGGTTAACACACTAAAATCTGATGAAATGAGTAAACAATCATGCAAAATATCGAGCAAAAGGTCTCTCTGTCTCTGTCTCTGTCTGTCTGTCTCGCTCCCCCCCCCCTCTCTCTCTCTCTCTCTCTCTCTCTCTCTCTCTCTCTCTCTCTCTCTCTCTCTCTCTCTCTCTCTCTCTCTCTCTCTCTCTGTCTCTCTCTCTCTGTCTCTGTCTCTCTCTCTCTGTCTCTCTCTCTCTCTCTCTCTCTCTCTCTCTCTCTCTCTCTCTCTCTCTCTCTCTCTCTCTCTCTCTCTCTGTCTCTGTCTCTGTCTCTGTCTCTGTCTCTGTCTCTGTCTGTCTGTCTCTGTCTCTCTCTCTCTCTCTCTCTCTCTCTCTCTCTCTCTCTCTCTCTCTCTCTCTCTCTCTCTCTCTCTCTCCCTCTCTCTCTCTCTCTCTCTCTCTCTCTCTCTCTCTCTCTCTCTCTCCCTCCCTGCCTCCCTCCCTGTACCCACCGCCCCCGTTTGCATCACTCACCCTCTCTCGCAGGTGAACCCGATCAGCAGCGAAGGCCAGCGTCGATCCCACGTAGAGCGCCACTGTAAGCGCAGACATCAGCAGACACCAGCGCAGTCGCACCGGCAGACACACACAAACCAGCACCACCAGCAGCAGGTACCACTCGAGGCCGTCCGTGGGCCCGGAGCGGTGCGCCAGACGCACGTGTGCTCCAATAGTGGCGGCGAACAACACCCAGGCGGCGAACGGTACGAGGCGCCAGCCGATGGAGCCCAGCCAGCGGAGAGACGTGACGGCTAGTAGGAGCGCGTGGAGGGCGGTGAGCGTCCCTACGGTGATGAGGTGGGCCAGGCGGTGACCTGTGTCCACCTCGTGTCCGAGACTGAGAGCTCCACATACCAGCGCACAGGCTAGGAGGTACTGCACATCACTGCGGCGTGCTGTCTCGTGAAACTGACGGTACAAGTGTTCCACCTCTGGGTCGCCAAAGGTACGCAGCAGCAGCTGCCCCCAGCCGGAGCGCCGGGGATCGGAGGGCACCGGTGCTTCGTCGATCGACATCGTGGAGAAGGTGTGGCGCCCGTCGCGTGGTCAAGCTGATCAGGTGACCACTGACCACACAGCACCGCTGGGCCGGCTGGTTTGTTTCACGTGGGTAACACTAGCACTCAGTTTTATCAGGATCAGCAAGGTAGGTAGATGTGCCTCCACTTTGCGATCTTCTATGGAATGCTAACCAGTTCGCAAGACAGTGAATATAACGTAACACCGCGTCACCTCATGATGAGTCTGTGATTCCGTCCGCTCCTTTACACCGTTCGCTCGCACCTGGAAACACTGAATTGCCCGAACCCTCCTCTAGAACGTTCACGGTCGCTCGGATGCACTATCGACGCGCCGACGTTCGCGCAAGTCCGGCCGACGCCACCGATCCGCAACGACTGAGCAACATGAGCCCACCGACGGAGGCCGATTCCAGACGACCGCGCAGCCGGGGGCAGGACGCCGCGAGCAACACGCAGATTCGACGGAGACGGTCGGAACGCCGAGCAAATAATGATGCAAACAGACGGTTAGGGCAGCACGCAGAGTATTGGAAGGAGGTGGTAAACACAGAAAGCAGGTTCTGATGGAGAGTTTCTGAGAAAGCGACTGAACACAAATATACACGGAGCCGGTCTCAGGGCATATTTTAACAAATTTTTACTGCGTCCCAAAGTTGAGCAGAGGGCACGTGCTACGACTAAGGGCACAGGGCAAGGAAAAGAGTAGGGCACTGAGGAGGGCAGAAAGTAGGGCACGGCAGGTTGCAGGGCATGGCACAGGACATTTTAGAGGGAAGGCCGGGTGCAGGTCAGGGCAGACAGCAGGGCACAGGTCAGGGAACCGGACAGGGCAGGGACGCAGTAGGTCAAATCAGCAGGGGCTACGTCCCAAGGCGAGGGAACTGCGTCCCAAAATGGGACGCAGTAAGTGCCTTAAAATATGCCCTGGCCGGTCTCGATAACAGCACAGCAGTTTATAGTTACAGTAGTCACCAGTTATTACTAGTAGCTAGCTCACAGCTCGTCAGTACCGTGGTCAGTACGTTTTAGTGTGCTTGGAAGGCAGCAAAAGGAGTGCAAAGTGAAATCACGTGGTTAGAGAACCGGGACGTGACTGAGCATCTTTCGTCTTTGGCAAACGTGTCTGTTCATACATGATAGGTTTTCAATCCGTACGAGTCCATCCTGTCGTGGCAAAGAGGTTCCATCGTATCAATTTCGGCAGAACATAATATTCGAACTTAAATAAACGTTCACTTCGCGGACAATAGCTTCACTGCGAATTTTGCGAATTGTCTTTTCAGAGAAGTCATCTAAAAGCTTCTTTTTCAATAACTATAGCATAAATTAATTTTAATTTTATTGCAAAACTTTAAAACATATAACAAATGCATCCAGAACTTTAAATTGTAAGCCGCACTCGACTTCTGCTCGATAGGAAAATCACGTGTGTATGTATATATTCGGAAAGTTTGTGTACCGACCCCACATAATCAACGCTGACGGTAAAATGCTACAGCCATTATTGCCAATAAGGTAGCAGACCAGACACCGAGAGCCATTAAGTCACAAAGTAAGCTCTCTCACCAGTTAGATATTCTGTCAGCTTGAACTAAGCTACCGCCTAGTTAGCTTAGACGATGGCGATTGGCGATGTATGCTCCTATTCCCATTTGGTAAATTCACTCTGATTAGGGGTGCTTGAGACACTCTCATTCCCAGCAGCTGCTCTTATTTTCAACTAATTAGCCAGAAAACTGCCCAACGCCAGATGAGCCAATTAGGCTGGAGAGTTTGTCTCAACCAGGTTCTCCGGAAGTGAATGAGAAACTAGAATCCGCCACCGCAGTACGCGGAAGAGAATCCAATATGAAAAATAATGCAACGAAAGCTAAAATAAAATATGCAGCGGCACCAGAAAATGCAAAAAAAAAAGAAAAATGTCGGTGCCGTTTGAGTACAGTTACCACTTCCCCGTAGACAAACAGGCATATGCCACCGATCAATTACACATCGACCGGGGACAAAGCTCCCAGCTCTTACATAAACGCACAAACAACTAAACTAAGCGCCATCAAATGATTGCATTTAATGTACTCAGGTTCATGCAAGTCCGACTTCCATCTACGAGCCCTTCATTACCTCAGTTCACCGTATTTTACGTTGTCGCAATGTTTTCAACAATCAACATTTCTTCGCACTATGGTCCAGGAAATATGACAGAATTTATGATTGTATGATTATGTGATAATCACCAACAGGTAAAAATCCAATCACCGGCGATGTCAATCGGTAGGTTTCATATGAATTATCTGTTGTGTAATGTGTATGTTGTTATTATCACAGCTTTTATTGTGTTTTATAACGGAAATTTAAGTAAAAACAACACATGGTTATAGTAACTTATAACACACCAACAACAAACATCCACATCATGATAAACACATAAATACAAACATGAATAACAATTGCGGCGACCGCAGTGTTAGGGGCAGGCGTGCCGGCATCCCTCGCCACAACACAGAAGGACAAGTTGCGGTCATTTGAGGACGCGTTACCCCCAAGGACAAATGACGGTCCTCTGACGGTACGTTTCGGTCCTTAGAGGACACGTTGCGGTTCTCTGAAGACAGCCAGGTGAAGCTGATATAGGATACAGGGCAAGAAGCTCATGTGAGCCCAGTTTTCGTATGATCAAATCAGCCCTCGCAAGGACAAGCGATGTTTGCGTGATAAGGGGTGGTGTTCCACCATATCCATCCGCGAAGCTAAGGCTCAGTTTCGAATCTGGTTGGTCCCGGTCGACACTCATTGGTCGGTGCAAGTGCGTTCCATCTGTAGAATTTTCAGCAGCGGCCGGCCATCGGCCCGCATCTGGTACTTTATCCAAATCTACGGACACACACGAACGGGCTGCACTCAACAATGTGCACAAACAAACAAACTCACACGATTGACGATATCAATGCGCACTCAAAAACTCACAAACGCCCTTACAAACGTAGGCGATATAGCTAAAAACACATCCAGTGACCCGCGACATAAAAACTAGGAAAGTATGCCAAGAGAGGCATACACACTAGGGGTACATATATGTGTGCCCTGTGCGCTTGCAGTGTGTGACTGTTTGTGTGAGTGCGTGTGGGGGGGGGGGAGGGGGGGGGGGCTGCCCACTGCACAGCACCTATGTGAGCCGATACCGTTTCATAGACTGACGGCAGATACGTACCCGAGCGTGCTCCATCAGCCAGCTGTGCTTCAGGTCCAGTCGCTCCGCCTCGGACATAGCCTCGAACCGGCTCAGCTGACGACACAGACAGAAACACAGACAGTTGACACCATCGAAACGTCTTCCAACAGAATATAAAACTCAATAAAACGTAGCGAGCGGACACAAAAGCTAAAACATGTATTATTAGAAAAGATTATCAAGCAAAATAAGCTTCCAAGCGAAATGAGTGAGGTATGCCTATGGATCATGACCCCTCCTCTTACTGAGTCACCACAAAGAGAGCACAAAGTCGGGAGCTGGATTCCAAGGAGCTGTTTCAGATCGCGACGCCCCCAGCCCATTGGCCGACCACGGTGACTAAGTTGTTGGCGATTTTTTTTTTCTCACGTATGAATTCACCACCTTTGGAATGAGAAGATCCACTGAGACAAAAACGTTAGAGTAGGCGGTGTATCTGGCCATGAGCCGAGGCCTCACCTGGGTCCGCTGGATACTTTACCGGAGGGAGAGCAAGAGACGTAAAAATTCTTACTGCTCTGCATCACCGATTCCAAAATATGTCATCAGCAGCATATGTCTGTCTCACTGCCTCGTTTGTGAGCCCTCGAACTTTGTGACTTGGTGTTAAAAAGGACGTCCTAGTATCAACACACAGCAGTGAGCTTTCAATACTGTATCCCTCTATTTCGGGAAGTTGCGTCCCGCTGGCGCAGACAAAGTTACCACCTAAGTGGTAATGACTAATGAGACCAAGAAGTTGAGACCTTACCAAAAAACCCACAAACAAGTCTGCAGGCAGCTGTCCTCGCTGGCTTTCGCATTTTAAATTTTAAAACCGAGGCCCGTGCGACAGCCTGCAAACAAACTTTGAGACTCTGGACGCCCGTCAGAGTCACAATACGGGCCGGCAACTTTGGCGAATTGACGTCATACACTGCTTTAGGTCGGCGACGCAAAGATTTCTCAAACGCGCACGCATTCTGGTAGTTCACTGGATATTGATTAGATGACGTCATAGCATAAGTAGCGCCTGGAGAAAACCCAACTTTACAGCCAGGTTGCTTGGCAACTGAATGCGTCAGCATCCGCTCACAACTCCGTTCAAAGCAGGCCCAGAACGAGAGCTTGAGGCGATGCCTGAAAGCACACAGGGCAGCCTGGCGGGCGGCGGGCCACCACTCTTCTGAACTTTACATATGTGGTGTGTGGGTCATAAGCCTGGGCCAGCTTTATTACTGGACTGGTCGTAATGTTGGACATTCGTGTCAGGTTGATCTAGACGAGTAGATACCACACATCCATGGAGTGGTATTCACTATTCAGACCTTTTTGATGAGAAGACTCAGGGAGGGAGCAATACCAACACTAGACGAAAACACTCATTACTCCTATATACAGACTGGGGGGCCCGGGGCAGAACCACCGTATCACGTATCCTCGGCATAAGACAGGCCTAATGCGGTAATCAATCCCTACGAATGTGTTTTTATAGGCACAATCTCTCTTTTCACAGTGACGGACTAGAAGAGCGTGGGCCGCAAGTAATGGATAACCACTGCTTCGGTCAGCTGGGCCTATGATGTGGGTTGCGGCTGGGAGCTCCACCTTTCCAACAAACGGTCCGCTTGCTGATTCTGATTGACAGGCTCGTTATTGAGCTATTTAGCAGTGTTGGATCACTGAACACAGTGCTCGACTAGACCAGCCACAGACTGTCGTATTGACCACTGATTGCAGTATTGGACCAACGGTGAAAATCGGACCAATGACTGATCTGTTGGACTGGACCACTGAATGATATTTTGGACCGCTGACTGGTAAATTCTGGATCATAGACCTGTGTGCGTACAGAGCGTGCTCAGTGTACGTACAGAGTTCTATTTTATGGTTGGACTAATGACCGATATGTTGGACCATTAGCTGATCTGTTGCACCACCCGCTGATCTGTTGGACCACCTACCGTGGTACCGAGTGCCGTCTCGGCGTGGCGACCCTCCAGCAGCAGTTTCTCCATTCCGGCCTGGTGGTCGGCGATACCGACACGGAGCGAAAACACCTGCTGCAGCTGACCGCCGGCCCCTGACGGACACACATAGTATACAGTCTACACTGACTCATGGAGCGATACCGACGCGGAGCGAAAACACCTGCTGCAGCTGTCCGCCGGCCCCTGACGGTCACAAACCCTGAGACTCAGGGAGGGAGCGATACAGACACGGAGCGACTAAAACAACAGCCGCCACTGACCGCCGGCCCCTGACGGACGCAAGATATACATTGAGACTTAGGGAGGGAGCGATATCGACACGGAGCGAAAACACCTGACCACGTCCGGTCCCTGACGGACACGTACATTGCCTTTGGGGAGGAGCGATATTGATCGGGACCATCATGCAATTCCTCGATATCCATGATACGTATTTCGAGTTCGGTGATAGCTTGTAATAAATCACGCTACCTACCCGGTCAAAGATTGTCTGAAACCCTAAACCACCCTTCTCGGCTCGTCTTCATCTGCCCATCAATCATTTCAAGAGTATAATTGTCAGAAAACGGCTGGAACTCACCTGCCACGCAGTCGGGGTTGCGGCACTGTCCCTCCGTCTCTGGGACGTAGCGTGAACAGCGGCCGCTGAGAAACAACACACACACGGTCAGTATAGGTAGCATATGCTCTACATTACACACAACATTCATGGCACCTTGTATTTACTGCTTCCAAGGAGGCCATGTTTGTCGGAAAGAAAACGTATTAACCCGCGCCCGGCTGGGGGTCCTGGATTTCCACGCCTTGCTGGGGGGGGGGGGGGGTTGAACACCGTCTAACTCGGCTCCTGGGCCACGTAGCGATACGCGGAAGGCGGCGTTCGAAAGAGCGTAAAAAATAATGAGGAAATCACTTCGGTCAATTTTTTGGTCAGGTCAAAGGTCAGGTCACCAGAGGTCATTGAAGGCAAAATTTCGCCGATTTCCATGTCGAATGTCGACAATTTCCAAGAAGCCAACGCATAACTCGGGAACCAATAGAGCTACAGCGCCGCGGAAAAGCGCATTCGATAGCCCTATTAACGCCCTTTCTGAATAATTTTCTCAGATTTGACCTAACGTCACCGGTTTTGCCTGCAGGGGGTAAAAACTGCAAAAATAGCCGATTTTTTCGGAAACAGTTTTTCTGCAATAACTTTTGACCCAAGCCTTGTACGAGCTTACTTTTACCGGCATCGTGTTCCTCTCGTCAAGACGCATCGAATGAGCTATAACTTGACCTTGAAAGGTCAACTTGAAAAATTTGACCTCAGGTCAAGGTCATGACCTGACCGGAAAGGGTCATGTTGCATGTCAGTCGATCCGTATCGTCGAGCTGAACACATCTAAGGCGTTTTCATCGCTCTAGCATGCCTCTATCAAAAGTTATTTGCGAAAAACTGTTGGATACCATTCGTGACCTAAGATGACCTCAGGGCATAAACAGGGGTCACGGACACCATTTTCATGTTCATTGTGTCTAAACCACTTGTAATTCAGTGTTTGGGAGTGTTTATAATGTCTTTCGTCCAAAAGAGGCGCATTTTCTCCCATTGACTTATGATGGGGAGGTCGCAAAATTGACCTGACCTTAGGTCATCGATATCAAAATTCTGAGATATACATTTTGTACATGCTATTGCTCTTAGCAATCGCTGAAAGTGTCAAAGCGATCGGTCACTCGGTGTAGCTATGACAGACATTGAAACTTTTTATGAGGTGAGGTCACTTCAAGTGACCTGGTGACCTGACCTTGAATGACCTTGGTCTGAAATTTTCACAACATGTGTAGAATTGATGTATGATAAAGTGTACCAAAAACGGCGGCGCTCCGCCGCCGTTTTTGAGATATTCGCGAAAAACCAAAAGGGGGAGTGTTCAAACACCCCCCCCCCCCCCAGCAGGGCGCGGGTTAACCCATTATACCAGCGACAGTCTTGCCGCATGAACATTGAACAGCCCTATACAGTATACACATATTCCGGGACGTTGTATGTAGCCACTGGATGCTCATACACGCTTTCATTATGCTCTCTGCCTGGCATACTGAACCTTTGCATGTGCTAGCTTGTGGGAAGCTGACTATTGGCTCTCTGGTTACATAATATTGTGGATAAAACCCGCACACTCAGCTTCTTCAATCGTTTAAAGCAGCATTAATCCATACACCGTTCGTCATGGCGCTATAGCTGGCAGGGACAGACGACTACAGCGCCACCTCTGCCGCCTGCTCACCATCTGGTGATTTTGTAGCGGTCCGAATCGAGTGGCAGCCAGGTAACGAAGGCCGGTACGATCACCACATGACTGGCAGTGACGTCCTCTAGCTGCTGCAGACGCTTCTCCAGCTCCAGGATCGGGCAGCTGTCGCGCACCGACGACACTGGAGAATGGGGGCATCGTGAGAACGAAACAGGTCAGAGCAGGAGGGAGGACGAAGGAAGGTAGACAAGGGCGGGGATATGAGACCAGAGGAGGACGAGATGAGAGCGAGACTCATGGAGTGAGGGAATGCCGGGGTGGATGGAATGAAAAGGAGATGTACGACGAGGGGGAAAGAAAATGTGACATAGGCGGCATTCGAGGTGAGATGTGCGGTCGTGGGGAAGGGAAAATAGGTGCCACTCTCTTTAAGCTCTGCGCAGCGCCAGACCACGCTTATAAGGTACGGCCTCGGTTTGAATCAAACTTTATATCATAAGGCGAAAACCCTAATTAGTCAAGCCCAAGCCCTAAGCCTAAAGTCAAAAATTTAGCCGAAGTATCATCGGGCTTAGCGACACTATGATATTAACCAATTCTCCCCGTCCCCCTAATAGCCGTTTTCACGACGGGCTATCCGGCGAATACACCTGATTTGACCAATTCTGCACCTAATATCTTTTACAGCAAATATCTTCATTCTATAAATTTAACTATTTCAGTGTTGTAATCGATGATGCTCTCTGATAATATGACAAAGCAGGCATATAAGCAATTAGTGCAACCCTAGCTGATAGCTAAGAGACACACTGAACCTGATTTGACCAAATCTGCACCTAATCTGCAGTACCAGATGTGCACCAAATGTGTACCAGATGGCTGTCGTGAAAACGGCTAATATCTCACGATTGATATCCTCGTCGCCAGCACTGTTGAGTTCGGCGGCCGAGCGCTCGGCGCGGCACCTCCGGCCGAACTGGGCCAGCGTCTGGGCAGCTCTGAGACGCGGCTCGGGCGTGACCACGGTCTGGGACCCGGCCACCGCCACGGCGGTCTGGCGGTACGCGTCGTACTTGATCCGGCAGTCGGTGACCAGCAGCACTGTCGGGTGAAGGGACGTAATTAGGATGGGTTAAGCTATCTGAAGAAGGGTAGGTTACGGCCAAGTGTACAGATATACGGACAAGGTGAACCAGATCAGGGTGCTCAGTGCTCAGTGCTCAGTGCTCACGCACCCCATCGGCCATCGCTACAGCGTAAGTTAACAGAATGCACGATACAAGTCAGACTAAGCTAAGATACTTCACCGATGAACAGAAACGGAACATTGAACGGTCAAAAAGACAAATAAGACGAAAAGGAACGATACCATACAGTCGAACGAAAAAAAAAACGGGACGAATAATAGGCAATAGCAGAAACGAAACTAAACCAAGCTAGGCGAAACTACACAAAACGAAACGACCTAGTCGTATGGGATAGAACAACTAAGCCTACAGACCAAATCAGCCGAGCCGCAAAACCACCGCCAACTTATTCATTCATCATACCAGTCTCCCAGGGTGTCCACTGCTGGGCCAGCCGGATGAGCTCGGCGTCCCACAGCTGCAGCCCGAAGCTGTTACAGCTCGGGTCGGTCAGGCGGACCTCACAGTTCTGCAGCTGCCGGCCCTGACGCGTGTTCACGTCACGCGGCTTTCCCACCTGGCAGACGCCGGATAAACGACACATATACAGATACGTCAGAGACAAAGACATCTCAACGACCTTTTTACTAAACGTGAGTTCTGATAATTATACCGTCTGACGAAAATAAGCCGCACACGTAATTAAATCAGGTCTATCGTACGCCCTAAACAACATCAAAGGATCCATTCAAATACAAAGTCTGCCATTCACTCATTACAAACGAGGAACAATTATTAGAGGCTGCCTCCTCCCCCCCCCCCTCCGTTCCAGCTTTCGACCCGCTCCCCGTTCCAGCACTTGCCCGTTTCCCGTTCCAGCATTTCCCGTTCTCCGTTCGAATACCTACTCGTTCCGTACCCCGTTCCAGAATGTACCTTTTCAACCCGTTCTAAGCCCCACCGAACCAAAAGCAACCACTGCACCTGTGTGCACGCATTGATTGTGCATATGAGCCCGCATTTCGCAACTGTACTCAACACAATACAATGTACTTGCATATGTATTGTCCCAACAATTACTGATGCAGTATCGACATGCCCACTTGTTAGAGGGATATCACTATTTGATTAGCCCTTCCCGCCACTCCTCACACCACCCTTCCCGCTCACCCACTCTCCCGTATCGTCTGCTCCCTCACTAACCCGTCTGACGAGCGCCAGAATAGAGCGGGTGACCGGCTGGACGCTGGGCGACGCAGAGAGCTCCGAGAGGGGAGGAGGCGGTGGTGTCGACACCGGGGGCGGCGGGACGCTCCACAGATCACGGAACGCACACGCGTCGCCCGTGAACAGAGACACGACAGAGCTGGACTCGTTGAGCTTCAGGTGAAACGGACTGCGAGAAGGGAGGAGAAGGGATAGAAGGGAGAGGGGAGGGAGCGAGGGAAAGAGGGAAAGAGGGAGTCAGATAACGGTGTAAGCTGACCGGGAGATATAATATTTGAGGAGACAGTTCAGTTGCACATAAATGAACTGACGGAAAAGGCAAAAACACCAGTTGATTGGAAGCCTGGATAGTGTCAGATTTGTCAGATCAGTACGACAGACATCAAGATTCGGCAGTGCCATGATCAGAGTGCAAGGAGGAGAGAGACAATTACGGGAGGGCGAGAGGGAGAAAGAAATAGGGAGAGGGCAGCAATTACTCGCCTGGAGGCGTGTGGTCGGTAGTTTTCATCCACATCGGTGGGCTGACGAGGCACCACCTGCGGGCCCTGCACCAGGACTGAAACACCACAGTGCGGGACTTGGCGGCACGGATAATCGAAGCATCGATGCGCAGCCGTGATAGCGGCATTGCATCATAACACTCACAAGTCACAATATAAGCCACGAGAAAACAGGCAGAACCACAGTAAAATATTTGCACCGAGACAAAAATTGGGCATTAGGCTAGATAAAATTGACGTCAAGGTTAGTGTTTGTATTCGTTACGCGTTACATTATTACCTACCTACATATTACACGGAAATCCCAAGAAACGCGTCGTTATGAAACCGAATTACCGATGATTCTCTACGCGTCGCGATGCACAGCACAGCTACCACGTGCCACGTACTGGTATCGCCGACGTGGAACAGGCCGGCCTGAACCGCCACATGCCGCTGGCTGCCCCAGCTGGCCACATTTATCGTGTCGTCCACAGAGTCTCGGAGCGTGAAGGCCAGCACTGAGACCTGGGTTAGCGGGTCTGGAATCGGGAGAACGCAGGTCAGGGACGGGAGGTTATAGCTCAGGGACGGGAGGTTATAGGTCAGGGAGGTCATAGGTCAGGGACGGGAGGTCATATAGGTCAGGGACGGAAGGTTATAGGTCAGGGGCGGGAGGCTAGAGGTCAGGGACGGGAGGCTTAAGGTCAGTGAGGGGAGACTAGAGGTCAGGGACGGGAGAATGCAAGTCAGGGACGGGAAAATAAAGGTCAGGGACGGGAGCTTAGAGGCTAGGGACGGGACGTTCAGGGACGGGACATTACAGGTCAAGGACAGGATACCATAGGTCAGGGACGGGAAAATGCAGATAAGGAACGTGAGAGTAAAGATCAGAAACGGGATGCAATAGACCGGGGACTTGAGGTCAAGTGCATACCGTCACGATCAAGAGATTCCGGGATTACCCAGGATTAGGCGAATGATGGGCAAATTAGGTGAATGTATGATCACCCGATTGTGACTACATATCGGCATTCGGTAACATCAATCACAATAACAATATGAGAGTAAAAAGCCACAGGGTGTCACGCGTGGAAACTACCGGTCAACCGTATAGCTTCGACAGCCGACGGGGGAATAAAGTGCTGGAGGATTTTGCGGCGTAAGTACGGCACCGGCAGCTGACCGGCACATCGGTAACACATGGCACGGCTACCAGGTCCTAGCCGACCACCTGGGTCACATCAGGGACACGTATGGGGCAAGCACGACGTCATGGCCCATTCGCAAGGACTACCGACACGACAAACTCAGAACGAGCACATTCAAATAGCGCCGGTGGCACTCTACGGCAATATTATTGTAGGATAAATGATCGAAAACGGTACCTCCGGAAGAGCCGGATGAAAGTACGTGCCGTCCCAAGCACAGCACAGCACACTGCACAGGATGGCACAGCAGGACGATGACTTACCGCGCTTGCTGGTCACCGCCCTGGGGTCCTGTTTGGCGATGACGAGCCCGACCAGACTGCAGGCGCCGCTCAGTGACGGCGCTAGGCCAGAGATGGTGGTGCTGCCCGCGGCGTGCATGGTGACGCCGGCTTATTGTGACGCCTTGTGACGCCGACTCAGTCTGTGGAGGCTGGAGCGCTTCCTACTAAGAGAACATGAAGTCCGTGTACGGTGATTTTGTGACACATGCACGCCTAAGAATCGGGTTGTAGGCCAGTTGTGAATTGATGCTACCTTTCATATCCCCCTTCTCCGAATAGTCACAACTGACGAGCGAAGGAGGGTCAAAGAAGTGAAATATTGGGAAGACGGCAGTCGTCGGCTTATTTGAACTATAAAGGTCCAGTGAAACTTTGGAAACAAGGAAGAAAACAAAACCAAAGGCGGTAAAGCTGAGAGAAAATAGCTTCAAAAGCAGGGATGCGGAGCCGGAGCCGGAGTCGGAGCCGGAGCCGCCGGAGCCGGCATATTTTGCCCGGAGCCGGAGCCGGAGCCGGAGCCGTGAAACAATATAGACCGGAGCCGGAGCCGGAGCCGGAGCCGCCAAAAAAGGGGGTGACTCCGGCTCCTTTTTATTTTTTGAAGAGGAAAAAAATAATTGATGTAGTTCGGTTTGACAGTACAATGCAGTGAAACATATGGTATGTACTTACGTCATGGGCCATCAAGTGAATGAAAAAAGCCGAATATCCCCAGTATCCCACAGTGCGCCATCAACTTCCTGTCTGCTCCTCCCCCCCCCCCCACGTCTACTGCATCCCCAGAACATGAGGACCGGTCATCAGGTGACGGCCATTGTTTTCAAGCCAGTGCAGTGGACTGCGACTCCCAGCACCGTCTCTGCCGAGACGGGTGTCAGCTTACGATGGTTCAGTGAACTCCGATTCGCGGCGACTGCGTTTCCAATGCCATCGCTTCCTAGTCCTTTGTTCTGCCAGTTCTCTCCGAGGTGCGTTTGCGCGGGGACGCGGTCATGAGCCGGTCATGGCAAAGAGTAACGCGTATAACCAATCCAATTTTTATTCCACCCATATTTAATTGATTGCATAGGGGATGTACTGAGTCGGAGCCGGAGCCGCCGGAGCTGGAGCCGCCGGAGCCGGACCATTTTACTCGGAGCCGGAGCCGGAGCCGGAGCCGCCATAACATTTCACCCGGAGCCGGAGCCGGAGCCGGAGCCGATTTTTTTCTCCGGAGCCGGAGCCGGAGCCGGAGCCGTCTGAAATTTCCACGGCTCCGCATCCCTGTTCAAAAGGATTTATTTCATAGACTCGTAGCAAATGCACACTCAAAACCTAGATCAAGATGCGCCAGGCTGATTAGCTGCGCCTGTCTGTGGCCAGTTGCCAGTTCCTAAGTGATAAACTATCAGACGTGTTACAGTTACTCATTCACTTGCCAATCTTCTAAAAAGTATATTTTCACTGTTGCACCTTATCTTCCTGACCAAAAATGAAGCAATTTCAGCCTAGCAACCCCCAGCCGCCTGTTTCCACCCATTCAAATTTCATGTTTGTTTTGAAATGATTTGCGACCTGATTGCTTGGCCTTGAGACTGCTTCACGAGCCGGCGCAAACAAGAACTTTATTAATGTTTTTCTTTTCCACGGAGCCTCCTGGTCGAAGGATAAACACAAGATTACCGTTTACAGGCGAGATATGACGATAAAGGAAATATAGGCAGAGCAAAGGGAGTGTCTAAAAAGCAGACGAGATTAGCAGACGAGCCCATGCTCAGTAACTATATATGGCCTTGCAGTAACTACTGGACCGATTTTGATAATTCTTTCACCATTCAATAGCAGGGAACTTATATAGGTGCCGTTTTTCGTTTTTTGGCGATTGGTTCACTCTGACTGGACCAATCGGACCAAAATGGTCCAGAACCATACACCCCCTTAAAAGCAGACGAGCCCATGCTCCGAAACTACTGAACCGATGTCGATGAAACCTTCACCATTAGATGCGCCGTGGTCTGAAACGGTGCCGTTTTTGATAATTTTTTGATTGGTCCACCCTAAGTGGTCCAAATCGGTCCAAAACCCCTAAAATCTGTTGCAGACGAGCCCATGCTCCGAAACTACTCGACCAATTTCGATGAAACCTTCACCATTAGACGCGCCGTGGTCTGAAACGGTGCCGTTTTTGATGATTTTTTGATTGGTCCACCCTAAGTGGTCCAAATCGGTCCAAAATGCCTAAAATCCGTTTGTACTTTGTCAGAGTCCGGATAGATTTCTGCAGCACAGAGGTGCCCCAAACCCATTGTCATGCATTTTGCTTTGCAAACTAGAGCAAAAATGCATGCTAATTGGGCCTGGGGCACCTCCGCGCTGCGGAAACCAGCTGATCGGTTGACTACATGAAAACGTATTTTTGGGCTGTACTTGAACCGATTTGGACCACTTAGGGTGGACCGATCAAAAAAAAAAAAAATCCAAAAGCGGCACCGTTACAGACCACAGCGCGTCGAATGGTGAAGGTTTCGTCCAAATCGGTCCAGTAGTTTCGGAGCATGGGCTCGTCTGTAACAGATTTTAGCGGTTTTGGACCGATTTGGACCACTTAGGGTGGACCAATCAAAAAATTATCATAAACGGCACCGTTTCAGACCACAGCACGTCTAATGGTGAAGGTTTCATCGAAATCGGTCCAGTAGTTTCGGAGCATGGGCTCGTCTGCAACAGATTTTAGGGGTTTTGGACCGATTTGGACCACTTAGGGTGGACCAATCAAAAAATTATCATAAACGGCACCGTTTCAGACCACGGCGCGTCTAATGGTGAAGGTTTCATCGAAATCGGTCCAGTAGTTTCGGAGCATGGGCTCGTCTGCAACATATTTTAGGGATTTTGGACCGATTTGGACCACTTAGGGTGGACCAATCAAAAAATTATCAAAAACGGCACCGTTTCAGACCACGCCGCGTCTAATGGTGAAGGTTTCATCGAAATCGGTCCAGTAGTTTCGGAGCATGGGCTCGTCTGCAACAGATTTTAGGGGTTTTGGACCGATTTGGACCACTTAGGGTGGACCAATCAAAAAATTATCAAAAATCAGACCAAGGCTCATCTAATGGTGAAGGTTTCATCGAAATCGGTTCAGTAGTTTCGGAGCATGGGCTCGTCTGCAACAGATTTTAGGGTTTTTGGACCGATTTGGACCACTTAGGGTGGACCAATCAAAAAATTATCGAAAACGGCACCGTTTCAGACCACGGCGCATCTAATGGTGAAAGTTTCATCGAAATCGGTTGAGTAGTTTCGGAGCATGGGCTCGTCTGCTTTTAAGGGGGTGTAAGGCTCTGGACCATTTTGGTCAGATTGGTCCAGTCAGAGTGAACCAATCGCCAAAAAACGAAAAACAGCACCTATATAAGTTCCCTGCTATTGAATGGTGAAAGAATTATCAAAATCGGTCCAGTAGTTACTGAGCATGGGCTCGTCTGCTAATCTCGTCTGCTTTTTAGACACTCCCCAGAGCAAATGAATAAAAAACGATGCATTGCAAAGCCAGGGACGTAGCCCAGGGGGGGGGGGAGGGAACGGGGGCCATGGCCCCCTGAAGGCGAAAAATAAAATAAAATTTAATAAAAAATAAAAATAAATAACAACAGCTGCACCCCACCCCCAAACAATAGTGGGCAAAATCCGAGGAGTTTTCCTTTTTGCAGGAGGTACGACCAAGGTACGACACTAGCCCGCTACCTGTGGGCCCCTTCCTGAGCAAAATCCTGGCTACGTCTCTAGCTAGGTGTATTTCCCGGCATTGGTATTTCCCCATGATTCTACAAGCCTGTTCGTGTGCCTGTCTCTGTGTCCTTCCATCCAGAGCCACAGCCAGCCTCCGCCTCGTGCTCCAAAAGCCGTCGCTAGCTGTAGACTTCATGGTATATTTCGGCACATGACATGAACAACACAATGTGATAGAAGCTCCCGCCAAGCTACGATTTTCATCTCTTACCGCCCCGTCCTCTCCCGCCGCCGCCTCCCCGTCCCTTTCCACCTCCTCGGCCGGACTTGCCCGCCCTGCCACCTTTTCCAGGTTTACCCCCACCAGCATTTTTCATCGCTCTCAAGTCCTTCTTCATCCTAGGGTCGACCACCTTGTAGCGTCCCTTGACGCCGGCAGGCCGGATTGCCCGCTTCCCAGACTGTGTCGACTTCTTTGCTACCACGTACTTCACCTCTTCCTGTTTCTTGCTACGCGCCCGTGCGTAGATCTTTTTCAGCTCACGCGCCTTCTCCATGGTGGTGGTATCTTCCTTTTGCATCACGCCTTCGGCGCGCTTCTTGGCCTTCTCCAGCCTCTTCTGAAGGCGACGCTTCTTTCGTGCCTTGGCCTCGGCCACTTTCTTGATGGGTCGTGCATCCACCTCCTTGAGGCGCTGTTTGTACTCTGCCACCAGCGCCGGGTCCAGCTCCGGCTTCCAGCGCATGTGCCGCTTCTCGTCATCCACGAACCACGCGGGCAGGTTCGCGTCGTCAAACGCGTACCTGTTGTAGCTGGCGTCGACGATGTCACGGCGAGACTTCTTGGAGTGGATGAGCATGGAGCCCAGAGCCAGGCCCTCGGCGTCCAGCTTCACCTGCCGCTTCTTCTTGGGAGCGGGCGTGCCGGAGACGGCCTCCGCCGCTGCCATTGCGCGTTTCCGTCCCTTGGCTCGTGGTGCGTCGTCGTCTGACTCGTCGGAACTGCTGTCCGACTTCGCGTCACCTTCGCTGGCGCTGTCCGCATCATCTTCGCCTTCGCTATCACTATCAAATTTGGACTTGCCCTGCTTGCTTGTTGACTTTTCTACCTCTGTATCCTCCTGTTCTTCGCCGTTTTCTTTTGTTTCACCGGGCTCTTTCTTAGCGTTACTGAATAAGGTACCACCTTTTGCCTCATGTGACTTCAGCGCTTGCTCCAATTCGAAATCCTCGTCAGCTTCATCTTCAATTGACTCAAAAACGTCTTTGTCGAACCACAGTTCGGCTTTACGTGCCCGGCGCTCTATATTTGAGGCCTTCCTTCCTTTGGTGAGCTCAATGTCATCCACCAGCAGCTGCGGTTCTTCTTCGTCGTCCTCTTCATCCACATCTGAGCCACCGTCACCCTTTGCATCCAGTCCAAGTCCGTCTGGGCCTTCCTCATCGTCGTCAACCCACTGCAGGTCATCCTCATCTAGCCTCTCTGGTAAGTTCGGATCGAAGTTACCCATGGCGTCTCGGGCTTTGTCTTCACGGTCGAACGCCCTTATCCGAGGAACGTCATCATCCTCCACAGGCTCTTCATCCATGGGGATGTCATTCACGTCAGCATCGAGTGCCTTACTGGGATCCTTTATGTCACGAAGTGCAAACAGGTCTTGTTCTGACTGCTCTACTCTGCCCTCAGTTGAATAACCAGACACTCGGAGCTTCTCTAGAATCGATCTCCGCTCTCGAAGCAGCTTCTTTCGTTTCTTTTTAGCTTCTGCATGCTGTTGTGCCTTCAGTTCAGCTATCTGCTTATCAATCTTTGTGAGCTCATCTTCCTCCGCATCCTCCGGCTCTTTTTCTTCAGTGACATCTTCCTCTTTCTTCTCCAGCTCGTCTTTCAGCTTCTTTCTCCACTTGATAAGCGACTTGATCTCGGCTTTGCCAAGAACTTTGATGTCTTCACAGCTGGAACGGATTTCATCGGTGGTAGCAGGATGGTTCGCGATAACATCGGTGTCCAGGACGATCTTTGTCGCAGCCTGCAGCATCCCAAGATGATTTGCCTTGCTGATGAAGTCCGATGCCTTTAGAACATTGTAGACGGTGGCATCACCCTCTGCGTATCCTAAGGCCTTCTCCTTCTTCATCGGACGTCCGAGCACCAGCTGGGTGGGCTTCTCTTCGGTCAGCTCGCCGAACACGTACTTCGAGTTCAGGAACTTGGGATCGATTTTGTCGGGGGCTTTATAGCCCTGACAAACGACGAAGATTTCGGCGGACTCGTTTCGCGAAGCCTGAGGCTTGGTGGCATGGACTTTGTTGAAGAACATCTTGAAGACCCAGATAAGCGCATGGTAGTCTTTGGAGCGGAACACTTTCGTGACAAACCATCCGCCCTTGCGCAGGAAGTCAGTGGCAAGTGCAAGTGCCGATAGCGTTAGCTCAGCCTGCTTGAAAGCATCGTGCAGCCACGACTTGCCGACGTTCGGAGCGCCGTCGTTCATCACCACATCTGCTTTCCACGTCTTCAGTTCGCGCTTCAACGCCTGGCGACACTTGTCGGTCGTGATGTCCTCACGAAGTGCGATGCAGTTGGGGATTGGCTTGATGGGTGCGATATCGACACCCACACAAATGCCTGCCTGAGGCATGTTTTGGCGCGCCACCTGCATCCATGATCCTGGCGCAGCACACAAATCTAGCACCACACGCGACTTCTGCAGAAATTCAAACTTGCGGTTTAGCTGAATAAGCTTGAATGCAGACCGAGCACGAAAGCCGGTCTCTTTAGCAAGGTGATAGAATTTGTCCTTTCTTTGCTTTCCAGTTTGATGTTTCACACCCATGGCTGGCGTCTAGTGGTCACCCTGAAACAGAGGGGGAGAAAGAGATTAGCACAAATGTTATTGTGTGGTAGCACACAAAGCTCCATCCGGTTCCTTTAGAAGCAGGCAATAAAAATCCAGCATTTGGACATGATTATAATTTGTGGTGTGGAATGACTGACAACATGAGGTAGTAGCGACTAGGAAGATACGGTGATTTGCCATACTCATGAAGCCAAGGGATGTTTTAACTCAGAAGTTTTTTTTGTGGACCAAATCAAATATGTGATTTGTCCTGTCTCCAGCAATTGACATGAGGACTGAGCTGAATTAGAATCGAATCAGGGGATAAACTGAATAAGCATGATGTATTTATAAAATATCTATGCAATAACCATTGTCTATGTAAGCATCTATCCAATGACTAATGAGTACCTATTGTAGGAAAGACATAAAATATAACAATATCTTTTTTTTTGCCTTAGAGATGTTATTTAATTAAGTATCACAAAGCCCTACAATTTGCAAATCAAAAGGCACATAAAATGATATCACTGCTATGACATAGTTGATTTTCTTTTAAAAATGGGTCTCCGTGACAATGCTAGGCATGATACCAATATTACTATTTGTGGACTGTGGTAAGTGGTCTAGCCAAGAATATATGCATTTGTTACCTATAGAGTTAAAACAAAAAACTCAAGGCTGCAAAAGAAAAACAATGTGGCAAACTTTATAATCAAATTAAACATACTATGGGTAAATTTTGTACTGATTCAACAATGTGGCCTAAAATGTTTTCCCAAGCAAGAAAAAGAACATTGTGTGTCTTTGACTGCGTCTGCAGGTGACATGCTAAGTGGTGCCTATGACAGATGACACCTTGGAGTTGGACTCAGGACTGCAGATCCATTATCCAACGGTCCAACCTTCAGCCCAGGTTCACTTCACCAGTGATAACTGTATTCAATAGTTTGAAGCATCACAGCTCATCCTACTTATGACTTAGTCTATCTCTATTTTCTCGCCACCTCAACCTGCCACGTACCTATTTGAATATGATATGGAAGTGTGGGGACTTAGGTTATGGTAGCTTTAATGCATATAAAAATATGCAGGTAATTGCTAAGAGATCAAGTGACTTATTTATTAAAAAAGAGGATAATCTTTAAGTGTTCTAACACTGAACTATGACAAAATTCACATCACAAGGGCCGTACATTTGAGTCAAATCCTGTTTCTGATTAACAAAGAAACTTGGATGAAAATGAATGAAAATACAAATTAATTGTAAACCAATGGTTTATTTAACGAATATATGAATAAACTAATAACCCACTGGAGAAACCAACATAAAATTAACAGAAATTAAATAACTAGTACCTATCAAACTTAACAATAACTCAACTAAGCTCGACATTTTACTTACCAGCGCACTAAAACGAAGATTGACGTCTCGAAATAACATGTAATGATATACCAGTTAAAACACAAACAAGCTACCAGCTTAGGTTGCCATCCGTATATGAATTAAACCATAAAAAAGGAATGAAAAATCCCTAACTTTGAGCAATGAACCAGCCAAGGCTATTGGCCTGTTCCAGCGCCTCCAGAAGAAATTCTTGACTGGAGGCTCTACCAGAGGTTTTACTGGAGGCGCTGGAACGCAATCTGGAGATTTCTGGAGATTGGCGTCATAGATACCAAAAGAATGACGATTGTTCTCTCTTGAAACGCAAAATTTGTTTTCAATTTTAGTTAAAAAGATAAATAAAATTATAGCAATGTAATTTTCTTTTCATTCAAGTTGTAAAATAATCAGTCAAATGTCCTTTGTTTACATTCGTGATTGTCACATGTGCACCATAATTGTAGACCAGAGCCTCCAGAGAAATTTGGACCTCTCAACTCTCTGGAGGCTACTGGAGGTTTCTGGAGCTTTGGCGAGAGCTTTCTGGAGCTTTCTGGAGGCGCTGGAACGCTCTCTGGAGGATTCTAGAGCTTTCTGGAGCTTTCTGGAGGTTTCTGGAGGCGCTGGAACAGGCCCATAATAAACCAGGTAGAACGCTCCGGGAAAAAAGTTGGAAACAATAAATTAGTTGCGGCATTCCCTGATGACGCGAATGTGGGTCAGCGGCCGGCGGCCGGCGGCCGCTAACACTGTATGAGGATGCATGCACGGAACTTTTGCTTGTTGGAGATTGCGCTAGGCAGATAAATGTTAATGTTAGGATATGTTTCGAAAGTAAATTGAACGACGCTTCGAACGCCGTCAATGAATTTGCGATACGACGACTATTTGTTTAGTTAAAGCCGGCGAACTTTTACCTTCCGACCGCGCGGGGAAGCGATACGGTGCCACACTGACGGTTTTTACGATAACTCAAAATTCTTTTGAGCTAAAGAGCTGAAATTTGACGTGTACAATCTTTTGATCAAGCTGGATCTTCTGGTACAAGTCGCATATTTAAGGTACGTCAGGTTGTTGACCTATGTTATCGCTCGTGAGCCTCTACACAGTCCAAAAGCAACGCAATTTCTGGACACTCAGTGCCAAGAAATCCTTCACAGAAAGATGACACTTGGCAGAAAGAAGAGCTGTCGGTTTCTTACCGTTCGTATGTGTTGTGTTTTCACAAGAGTTTAGTAAGGTCAGGTCCCTCACGTGACCTCCCCTCATAACTCAATAGGTTTACTATCATAGAAGCGTTTATCAATCGCCGGAAATCTTAGCCAATCCCACTGGACACTGGATCTATAGGTACCCACATGGGGCCCTCCTGACTGGCCACTCCCTCTGAAATCCACAATAACATTGGGCTGCGGCCACGGTTATGTATTAATGCTTTTCACTAACAAAAATACAACAACTTCAACCAGCACAATGCACGCCGCCACAACAGTCCGACCAACGTCCCTGATATCGACTAGCACCCGGCCGGATGCACATACGCGGAGCCAATCATTCCGAATGTGACCTGCAGCTTACAATTGCTGTGTCGCATGGCGCATGGCACAGGATGATTCCTAGCAGCTGTCGGGTGGAGTGGAGAAACAGCACGTTGCGACACACCGCGCCGGCGACAGAGCTCAGCAGGCCTGGTTGGAGGCTGGAGCCGGAGGTAAGGGCGGACACAGGCACATACATTGCAGGACAAATAACAGGATGTCAGTTAGGGATATAATTCAAGACGAATGATTCAAGACGGCCTGAAATAATGCAAATTTTGTTCACTTGGATACCAACTTCAAACTTGACGTTTATAGCACCACGGAAACAATGGGCGCACAGGAAAGAAACAAAAGATGGGGTGTTTCTAACGCAAGGAAGTAAATAGAGGTTGCATATGATGGAACAGCCCGAAGTGCAGACAAGCACATATTTTTGGTAAAAGCTATCAGCCTATCAGCTGTCCTACTACTCTTCTCCCTTCACTAACTACTGGACACATCTGAAGCATCATATATAGGTAGCACCAATGTCCATAACAAATGCTTGGAACTTGGAAGTAGTTTTATGAAGCCAAGGGAAATACATGCTAACATGCCTACATCATGCATGTAAACTAAAAATTACACAGGCATGACAAAGGAAGCTCATGTAAAGAGAGTAGTTAGCAAAAGCATTTCATAGTTAAAATAATTCAAAACTGCACAGTGCACACAGGGCAAACATAAAAAGCAGTAAGTGTGTACTTTGCTGTTCAGTTATGCTAAGAAATAGTTCAAAACAAAATACATCTTTTCATGTTTACTGGTTGTTCTTCTATGCCACTTCACCCATATCTTGATTACAGATGGGCTGTTACTGTAGGCTGATGAAGTGACACTTGGTTGCCTTTGTGCGAGTTTCAGTTGCAGCCTCCTAGGTACTGCACTGGAAAGCAGATGAATGCCTCTGAAAGATAGGAATATAGGCAAAGTTAGCTGTAGTAGTGTCAATGATAATATACATGACATTTTTGTCCTTTGACATACATTTGTTGAAGTAAAAAAGGGTACAAAATAAATTGGTTTGTTTCAAGACACGCTCACTGCACAAAGCCGCACAGACATTACACAGGCATATGAAATTGGTACACATAAAACTTGATGATTAAAAAGGTCAAAACTAGCAATTATAATAATTGAAGTAAAAGTTACAATCACAATCATTTCATTTAAAATGACTTGACATAGGTAAGTCACAAGACGCAACGCTCCTATTCACTAAAGAAAAGTGTTTATGCTTTCAGTATCCTCCACATATCAACCAGCTTGATACCAGGCTGTGCAATAGTGGGTACATAACCCCATGTTGCCATTTTATTAGAGCAAGTGGGGTTTCAATAACAATGCTAATGTCAAACCCACATCTGCAACCCGTACTGCAGTTTCAATCACCTTACAAGCACACCTTCTGGCAGTTTGATAGGCAGAATGGTCATTACTACCTTCTCCTCATATTCAACACATATTCCCTTTATACAGATACAGTTAAGACCTGGTTATGGCAAGCATTTTCGAGAAAAGATAGGATAAGAGTCCAAGACAAAGGTCGAGAGAAACAACACCAACATAAAACACCGACTATGTAGCACTAATACTGTCAAATTCAAAAAAAATATATACATGAGTCGATCAGAAATTCACTGTAGATTTCGAAAATGGTGTCAAATGCCACTCAAATACCCCCATTCGCATGTACGAAGCAATAAAACACTGACCTTCAGTTCCGCGTGCCATTCTCCATGGACACGCCCATTGACCTAAAAAAGACTAGACGCGCGACTCCCATTGGCCCGGCGCCCGGCCGGCCGTTCCTGTCTTGCGACACTAGCGCCACCACACGACTGGGGGCGTGAGTTAGCATCGTAATGCTAAGGCTATGGCGAAATATCAAACTTTGGATGCGGATGCTGATAAACCTGTTTGGGTTAGAACATTTTAACCTTCACAGATGCATTAAGTAGTCAATTATGTATGCTAGGGAACAACAAAACTTGATCGGCAACGTTACAGCCCCATGGAACAGGGCCGATCTCGAAGCCTTATTCCACGGTTTGGGAGGTGAACGACGGGCTTCAGGCGGTGCAGTATTTATTCTAAGTACGTTCTTTGGCAACCTGGGAACGTGCATCGCTGTCTGCTGTTGGGAGACCAGAACGAGACCAGAAAGCAGGAGATTCTGAAAGAAAGCCAGCCAGCTGACCGGCCACAGCGCTCAACTCCGCTCAACTCAAACAGCCATACATCGATACATACATCTACGCCGCGCTCCGTCGAGATACTAAGGTGTCCGGCAAATTCAAGTTAGATTAAAGAGGCGTTTCTCAGTAAGATCCAGTCACTTACACTGTCACACAGTGTCTGTAAACTAGTAAGCACATGCCAGGAACGAATCAGGCCAAGGCGATTCCCTTGACTTCACAATGAATTACATTTGTTAGTGTCAAAGACCGTCATCTAACAGAAAGCAGCTACCCGGCTATCACCCACTTTTTCCCGGAATATTTCATGTCCTCAAAAAAAGAATAAAAGTACACGACACTGAAAATTGACACTAAATAAATTTTGGATGGCGGACATTTCACATTACTGCTACATCTCACGTACAATTTTTTCCAGACGAAAACTCACAAATTGGTGGATAAAGCGAAACAGCGAGTGAAATCACGTAAATATCAAAGATAGCGAAAACGACAAAACACCAACTATGCATACAAAAAAAATTAAATACCACCTACACTATTGAATGCACATACTCATATGGCACATATACTTACTGCCGCGCAAACAGCACCTGCTTGTGCAGATGATGCCTCACATGGGCACTGGCCATCCCGCTCAGAGTGATATAGTGGCCGTAGGCATGCAGCCGGACGCGCAGGTACCGGGCCACCACCTGCTTCAGCAGACTCACTGCGTGGCATCCACCTGCGCGAGGTTCAAACATGTGCTCCTGCACGCCAGGGAATAGCTCATGACTGCGCTCAGTCATAAACTGAGCGAGTACGGAGCACTGAATCCTCAGAGACAGGTTCTCCTGTCCCATTTCACCGCACCTTCTCAGCGCAGTCAGGTGCCGCTCTGATGACGCAATGATTGCGTACGTCGACGCCGATGGGACGAGAAGGCCCCCGTTGTCTCGAATTTCGACCAGCCTCATCACTTCGCGTGATGGCGGATCTTCCTCGTTACTGAGAAGTGCACCTATACACTCTCCACACTTCACCACGCTGCCCTCTATCAGCTTACGGCACACATAGCCAGCTATGTAGCCGACAGAGTCGTCCACAAACGCAGACCGGTTGCCGGGCGTCATGAGGACATGCTGCACTACCGCCGGCATCGGATCACCTGCACCGAGTGCCGAGCGCTGCCGTTGTGGGCGACGGATCTGCAGCAGACCGACCTCGTCGTCGTTGCCGTTGTCCTCGTCAGCTGGTGCCGTGCTGTTGCCGGTCGCAGATGGCGAGATGAAGTTGTGGAGAGCCAGTCTCCGCAGAGCGTGCTGCAGCTGCACCGCGTTTGGGTTATTGTTAAACCCACCCATGCGCCGGATACGGCTGAACAGCAGCTCCACGTGATCCTGGCTCATCTTGTAGGGCAGGACGTACGCGAAGCCCTCCTGCTCCAGGAGAGCCTCGCTGACGTCCAGGACGG